TGAGAACAAAATTATTACGTATAGGTAATAAAAAATATTTTAAAGTTTGATAACATTATGGTTATACATATTATAAGTATACAGAGTGTTGGTTTGTAAAATTATAAATACATTGTATTTGACGCAGGTTAGATAACTAAAGAMAACGATTATAAAATTTAAAAATTTAAAAAAATTAGCGGAAAAAACGCTGTTCGCAGCACATATGATATACATTTAATTATAATCTAATTGATTTAATTGCAGCTTAAATTTTAATTACAAATTTATACATCATTAAAATTATAATAATGTCAATCTCCACATAATATTTTTATGGGAGAGTTGATGACTCGGGGGAGGGGGGGGGGTAGATCATCCATAACATATTATAATATAATAATATTATTAAATTTAATATTGTAAAATAATTTTTAGTTGTAGTGACGTTCATTATAAATATATATTTTTWTTACGCGTCCAAAAAGAGGAATATATTTGGAAATACCAATATAAACATTTATTATATGAATTCAGAAGACAAAAAATGCTCTAAAAAAAAAAAACACGTGTCCATCCTAGATTAAAATTTTTAATACATTTAGGTAGGTAACATACCTACAGTAATTGAGGACTTATTTCATAATTGGTACACGTTTTCGTTCACCACACTAATTTCTATCAACTTATTCTTTGATTTCATATACATATTTAGTGATTTTAAAAAGCGTATTTAATTTTTTAAAATTTTGAAGTTATTGATTGTAAAATAATATGATACGCTTTCAATTATTGTTTAAAGTGCGTTGGTAGTACAGAAAAAAGTTTTCATAAAACTTCTATATTTACTACGAATTTATTCAAAATTAAACAAAGATGTATTTGTTTGAAATCTCTAGTACTTAGAATCAATCAACAAAAGTTAAAAATCAAAAAAATTAAATTGCGTTAAATCTATGGTTAATAATGTATTTTAATTACAGTTCAATAGAGTCTATGACCATGTTAGTAATCGATTTAAACATTAAAAGTCAAGTGGGTGGTTGAGAAAATTATGAGTTCAATTATTTTGAATCAAAGGATCGATCAGGAAAAAGGTCACTGGGGCATGAATAAAAACGTTGAGATAAAAAAAGATAAATCAAAGTGTGTATACATATACTGTTTAATAAAACGCACTTAATATCGTATTTTTAAGTATTGAAAAACTTGTTTCAAATGTATAATGCATAATTATATTATATTGTAATTTATTAAACGTAGTTTTAATTAAATTTGAGCCCATCAACAAGCGTGTTTTGAATCAAATATTAGTGCTTAGGTGATACCAACTTGCTGATACGTGATTCGGGTCTATTCGACTAAAAAACAACCAATAATGGTCAAATTATTTGTTCAGAAATCATATAGGTTTAGTCACTATAATAATATAATATTTTGTTACTGCGACGTATTCATTGTATTATAACTGATAACACTGTTGAACGCTAATATGGTAAACATAATAATATATCTAAAGTAGGTATAGTATAGTGTTGATGTATAATAGGTACAACCAGAGTAGTGTTGGTACCTATTCTTATCGTTACGTATTATAAGCCAAAAATAATATGTACGATGTAGGTTTTTCGTAATATTTCTCAATCTTGTCGTTCTCGTCTATCGACACATTTAAATTGAAATATTCTTCAAAGTTTTAGAAACGACAATACCAAATTTTAAATTATTTGAGTATCTATCAGAGTACCTGAGTATAGCTGAGYTTATTTAGATTTTAAAACCGTATYATGACCGTTGTATTTTAAACATATCGTCWTAAGTACAGACCAAAATATTATAACATAATGAATAATAATAGAATAAATATTTTATTATTTTTTAACAGACTTTATTTGGTTGAAGAAAACCAACAGATTGCAATCATAGGAAATTTGATGCAGCCAAGCGGATCAAACGTAAGTTAATAAAATATTTTAACTAGAAATATGTAATACAATAGTCATTTAACT